CAAACGTCTTTTGGGGTGGGTCTGAAGAGGTGATGTGTTCACTTGCCGCGTGGCAAGTCACACAGTGAAGACAGAACGTCAAAACCATTTATGAGTGAATGGGAAGTTGACGTCTGTTTCGGATTTACTTTAATTTTTAGATTAAATTCATTTGAATTTTTTCAATAAAAAATTATGGTGGGAATTTCAATTTAATTCTAAATCAAATTTGAGTTCCTAAGTGGTTTCTTAAAATTTGTAATTGTGAGAATTTAATTTAATTTTAAATTCAAATTTTAGGTTCCTAAAAAGTTTCCTAAAGTTTGTACCTCATCATTTATTTATTTATTTAACTATTTCAATAATTTAATATATATATATTTAATTAGTTTAATATATATATATATATATATTTGAAATAGTTTGAATAATTAATAAAGTTCTACAGGTTATAATTGTTGACTAACGGTCAAACTTTTCAAAGTTGTTTGAACATTGGTTTTCCTTGTGCCGTTGGTCAGACAATTGTTTTGCACCTTTTCACTTATTTGTAACACCTTTTCGGGTCTAATTTGTTGCCTATATATATAGATACATTTCCAGCAGTTGAGACGCCCCGGAAAATTCAGTCTGTATTTTTGTTTTGATATTGTTGTCCTCTTTGCTCTAAGTACATATATTCTTCATATATAATTTTAGAAAAAAAAATATTCAGAGAGTTAGAACACAGGTTTGGTTTGCCGAACAAGTTGTTTGGAGTACTACTACAATTTGTGAAGATCATTGTATCCTGGGAGATAGACGCCACTCAACCGTAAGTACCATAGAGGGGCGAATCTGTCTTAAGGACAGAGTGTCACACACTCGACTTGGTCTTGTAATTTTTATTTGGTTCGACAAAATAAATTCGGTATGTTATTTATTTATTTTGTTTGATTTTATTTCTTGTTATTTTATTTACACAGAAGATTGTTCCAACAAGATCTTCATGTTACTTGTGAAATTTTGTGGTGATGATTGGTTTCTCATGTATCATGTGAACAATTTGAAAATCAATACTCTTATGTATAATAAGTTTGTATTTGTCAGGAAAGTTTCTGGAGATCAAACTGAATTTGCATCAAATTTTAAAAGTTACGCTCCTTGTTTGGGTAGAAAACATTTTTCGCAAAATATTTTCAGCATTTTCTACCATTTGATACAATGGAAAACAAAAATGAACGGATAACATTTTCTATAGTCAATGAAAAATAAGTCTATTTGGGTGAAAAAGGTTTTCCACTTTTAGAAGGCAGAAAACATTTTCCGAAACAAAGTTTTCTCAGTGAATTAAATGTGAGAGGTTGGAAAGACAGTTGCTCTGACCCATATACCTTCTTTCCAGTTGCGAACATATGGCCCTTTAAAAAAAGAAAAAAAAAAGAGAGATGATTTGTGTCTATTTGAACCCAAAAGTAACACGAAAACACATTTAGTTCACATAATATCTTTTTACTCGAAAGTTCACACACAACATTAATCTTGGATGGCCCACGCACAAACAAAGACGAATGCAGTGATGTCAGCATTACTGTGAAAATTTTCTAAATATTCATATAGGTATTATTGGAAGAAAGCTGGTAATAACGACATTTCAAGTTTATAGTTTCAAATGACAGAAAGTCCATTTTACTTTGGACACTTCTAGTCTTTTCATTGTAACACTGGTCATAGTATCACTAGAGAAATTTAAGAAAAATGGAAGTCACAAGCACTGGCTTAGTTCAGGCAGTAACAGAAACTGATTATGATAGAAAGAGTGAACTAAAAGCCGTCGATGACTCTCAAGCTGGAGTTAAGGGCCTCCTTGATGCCGGGGTGACAAAGATACCAAAAATCTTTGTCAATGGCCACAACCAGCTTCGCTCTGATCAGGGACGGATGTAGGATTCTAATATCGCGGCAGCCAGTGTATATGCAATCAAATTTTTTTTAATGAACATGTGATATACAATATCAATTTCTATTCAAATATCACAAAAATATATAATTAGATGTTTCCATTCATTGTATATAATGACAAAATATTATCAAAATACAATTGGATATGTTCTAGTAAATCCATATTAATTTTTAAAAAAGCAACTATTTGCTTTACATAAAGTTGTGCTCGCCGTTCTTTCATAATATAAAAAGCATCTATGATGGAATCTGCATCAAAATCTCGAGCAATGTCTTTGTCAACATATGTTAACAAGTAGCTTGAAAGAAAATCATCCTCCATCTTGTTGCGCAATCTAGTCTTTACAATTTTCATGGCTGAAAATGCACGTTCTGTTATCGCCGTAGAAACTGAAGAAAATGCACCCTTAACCACGAATATTTTGTACGTTCTGCGAGTTCTTTTCCAAGCTTTCATATCATTTATACATATATAGCGAGAGAGAGAGAGAGAGAGAGAGAGAGAGAGAGAGAGAGAGAGAGAGAGTAAAGTGGAGAAGGGGGCTTAAACAATTAGGTTAATAAGAATTTGGGGACATTTTCAAGCGTGGGACAGGTTACACGTAAGTAGTATTTTATTTAGTTATAACCAAACAATTAAAAAATTTGGGCTCTAATCAGACAGAAAAGACTTTAACATATTAACAAATAAATTCTCAATTATTTTAACATTACTAAATTTAGAATAAAAAGTAATTACACTTAAAAAATAAATTATTATTACTATTATTTTTAGTATTTATCAAAAAAATAATTAAAATTTTAAATTTTAAAGTAAAAAATTTAGGGGGTGGCGGTTCTTTAATTTTTTTGCAAAAACATTGGAGTGGCGAACCTATATAATTTAAAAATATTTGTAATTTTAATACTATATCTAGGGGGGTTTTTCAAAACTTTGGAGGGGAGGGGGCAGTCGCCCCTGCCAACCCCTCCCTTGGTCCATCCCTGGCTCTGATGATGAGTTGCGTTCTGGCAATTCCAAGTTTAGCATTCCAGTGATTGATTTTGAAGGCATAAACACAGATACAGGTCTGTGACGTGAGATTGTTGAGAAAATTCTAGACTTGTGCATGAACTGGGGATTCTTTCAAGTGATCTGTCATGGAATTCTGGTTAGTGTCATGGATGGGATGATTGATGGGGTACGGAGGTTTCATGAACAAGACATTGAGGTGAGGAAACAATACTATTCCCACGATCTCAATGCCAGGAGGTTTTTGTATTGCAGCAACTTTGATCTGTTCGAAGCGCCAATGGCTAATTGGAGGGATACCATGTCTTGTTTTATGGCTCCTCATCCACCTGATCCTGAGGAATTGCCTGCTGTTTGCAACTATGTGATGTGAAATTCAATAAATTACCACAAAAAAAAAAAAAACTTAAATCATGATCATTACATGAAATTAATCTTTTTTATTTTTTTTCCCTTTGATATTGGTATATAGATTGCGAAATTAATCTAAGGCCACAACTTTCAAAATGAATTTAACTTTTGGAATTTACTGTTGATCTATTATCAGTTTTGTTCTAAAATTTTGGACAAAAATTTGGTAAGAAAGCAAAGAGGTTAGGGAGACCAGTTGGTGGAGTGATTGTTATCCACCTATATGAATACAATATATTATCTAGGTTTGCAAAGGGAGGCCAGCACAACCTTGCAATCAGCCACTTCCAAGAAAATTATCTCAATTATTAAAAGCTAGGCTTTATGAATAAATTTTGGATATGTACAACCACTTACAAATTACGTGTATCGGTTAAGACTGAATGTTTGTGTCCTATCAGAGTTGAACATGAGACCTTAAAATACCACCCATAACAGTTATGTCCATTTTAAGGTTTTTCTTTTTCTTTTTTCCCCTGTTTGTTTTAATGCCAAATGATCCACTAAATTTTATTCACAATTTGTCTTAGCATCTCTGCTATAAGATGATTTCCCATCAACCTACAGAGACATAATGTTTGAGTACACAAGGCAAGCAATGAGATTGGGATGTGGTCTTTCTGAATTATTATCTGAGGCTCTTGGGTTAAACCCGAACCATTTAAAAGAGGTGGGTTGTGTTGAGGGGATTCTCCACGTCGGTCATTACTGTTGGAAATGGAAGAAAAATTCTGGGTAAAAACAGAATTTTTTCTCAAGTTTGGTCTATTTTTTAGGTGGATCCCGAGCGTCGATTTACTCGAGTCAAAGTGGTAATGCGTTCTATGCCGCGTTGTGATTCACGTGGTATATTTGGTTGCTCAAAACCATTACCGAGTGAATGGGAAATTGAAGCCAAAGTGTGCTCCATGGAAATGGAGTTTTGGTGGAAATTCCTTAAGGTTGTAAAATGGCTTGTCCCACATTAATTTGGTGGGAAGTTTTGAAAGGGTTTATAAGGCATGGATTTGGTACTTGGGGTGTGCCTCAAGGAGTACCCAAGTGTTTTAGAGGGAGAGGTTATGGGCTAGACCCATTGGACCCAAAAAATCACCACGCGCCGCCGCCAGCCGTCCGGTCGGGCGGGCTAGGCCTAGGTGCGTGGTGTGTGGTTGGGCTTGTTCAACCCAATACTAATCTTTTTGGGCAAAAAACATTTGAATTTATTTTTATTTTTTGGTAAAATAAAATCCATAATTCAAATTAATCGGAAATAATCTGGTTCGGTTTTTTCTGTACATCCAAACAGGGCCCTTTCATTTTTTGAACCCAACAGCTCTAAATCTGTTTGAAATTCAAACCAAACAGTGCCTATACAGTTTTGTATCTGTTTAATTCAAATTGAACAGGTACAGTACCTGTTTAATTCAAAATGGAAAGCCACCAATCCATCTATAAATAGACTAAACCCCCCTATTTGGAAAAATACTCCAATTTTCGTACTCATCTTCTGCTATAAATTTATTCTTCATTTTGCATTAAGTTCTTGTTACAGAGAGTATAAACACTTAGTGTGTTCGACGAACGAATAAATTGTAGTGCTGCTTTTATTCGTTGATAGATCATTTTATCCTGGGAGATAGACGTCCAAATTCTGAAAGCACCGTGGAGAGGACGAATCTGTCTTAAGGACACAATGTCAAACACTGGACTTGATCAAAAAA